TTGAAATATTTTTACCAATCATTGTAATATGAAAAGTATTGAGATAATTTATTAATAAAATCTCAATGTGAAACAAATGATTGAATATTAAGTAGTTTTATAAATGTGTTAATATTATGTCTCATAAAATAATTGATTAGTTGTTGGCTGAACAGAAAAGTATTCGTGAGATGATAGATGACATTACGAAATTGTTTTTATAATAAATAAAATACAACATAATGAAAAGTTAGATAAAAGTATACATAAAAAAAAAGTAAATAAACATAAAAGAATAACACATAGATGAACCCAGTAGAGTTTAAGTAAACAGATAATTAGAAAATATGTAAAGAAAGGAAAAAATATTATAAAAAACAAAAAAAATAAAATTAATCAAGTAAATAAAATATGCTCAGACGAAAGAAAGGCTGGGCTCCCATCAATACAAACAACACTATCGTAATGTGGCATATTTGGATCATAACAGAGATGTAATTGATGTTCAAGAAAGTCGGAGCCAGGAATAAGTATAGGTTTTTTTTTGAATTCATGAACAATTATATTTTTATTGATGATAACTGCTGTAGATGAAAGTGCGAGATGGTCAGCATATGTTCCATCTTTACTCATTTCTTCAATATAATTTTCTATTGTTGAATACATTTCATCAATAAATGATGCAAAATCGTTCATATTTTGAATTAAATAGTTTATTGTTTCAGATCTAATATTTAAATGATCGTCTTCGTGTCTATATAGTTGATGTGAAATTGCACGGAAGAAACAATTACCATCTGCTAATATATTAATTTTTTTTAAACCTATACTAGAAAGTTGTTCAGTAAAACTAAATGTGGCTCTTCTTTTTTCTAAGCAATTTTCTTTTCTTATATTAGTATAATTACGAAGAAATAATCTTTGTTTTTCTTTTAAACGATTACTACAGGTATTGACAGTTGTTAAAACTTTTATTTTTTTAAATATGTGATTTGATTTTACTGTTGTATTTTTTTTTCTTTTATTTGTTTCTTTAGAAATTTCCAGGAATGATAATGAAGTAGGTAAACAGGTATCTGTATCCATCTGTTCATCGTTATTGAATTCAATCTCTTTGTTTGATTCTTTTTTTTATTTTCTACATCAATGGAACAAATTAATGCATCATGAAAGCTATAAAATATTCCTGTCACATCTTGATATTGAACTTTATTTAGTATAAAATTAGAATAAACACAATCAAGGCTTGTTAAACTATTCGTGGTAGGCATATCTTTAAACATATTTACAAAACCTAAATTTTCCAATTTTGTTTCAATAGGTTTTGACTTATTCTCAAGACTATCTTCATTAAAATCGCCAATAAGAAGAATATTTTTGTCAATATTAAATTGTTTTAAATGTTCAATTAAATTTACAACAAATTCTTTTTTATTTTGCTGTGGTGATCAATAACATACAATAATAATTATGTTACTTTTTTCTATTTCAAAAGTAATACATTCAAGATTTACATGTGCATATGAATCAATTGTTTTTATAGGAATAGTTTCTCGAAAATATATTGCAACACCACCACCTTTTTGTGAATGAAGTAAATGGTTTGCTACAAATGAACATGCTCGTGTTTTATGAACAAGATTAGAACCATTAATTTGAAGATGATCCAATCGAGTATCATCTTTCAACCATGTTTCTGCTAGACAAATCAAATCTGCTTTATGTAATAAATGGTAATTAGAAAATGCTTTAAAATTACATTTTAATCCTTCAATATTGTGAAACAATATATTCAAGAATTCTGAAGATTCTTGAAATATTAATTGTTTTTTTCTCATTATTTTCATTTGAGAAAGAACTCTATCAACATTTTCGTTACAATAGAATTTGTCAAAGTGTAAATCAATAAGAAATAGTCCTTCTAGGATACGAACACGTGATAATGCTGTATATCCCATTCCACTTCCAAAAAAATCTTTCGTACTAATAACAACTTGATCAACAGTAATTCCTTGAGCTTTGTGTATAGTCATTGCCCAGCTAAGACGTAAAGGAAATTGTTTTGTACCTTTTTTTGATTGTGAATCATATTCTAGTCGATCAGTAGTGTTACTTTCTCGCATCACACATATTGTATCTCGCCCATGACAATGTGGACAACTACGTCTATGAAGACGTCCAACTTTAGATGAATCACATTTAATTATTATATGAGAAACATCTTTATTATTATTTTCTACAAATTCTACAATATGACCTGTGACACCATTTGCTAATCCATCATTTACACAAATATTTTTCGTCATCATCACACGAGCATTTTTAGCAAGTCGTAATGGCTTACTATTTTTTTTTCTTTCTGTTTTTTCGTTCGTTTTTATTTCTTTATCATTATTATTAACTTCATAAAATATACGAATATTCGTGCAAATTTTCTCAATCATTTCTTCGTTATGTTTATCAACCTGAGCATTTCTAGCAAAAAGATGCAATGCTTCTGGATGATATTCTTTATTCAAATAACGTTGATGACATTTTTCAAGCACATCACGATCTTCTTTACTCATATCTTCTTTTTTTTTAATTTTTCGAATACGATTAAGCATTTGTGAGAAAAAAATGTTTGTTTTTTGTCTTTCATTGATTTTAAGTTCAACATATTCAAAATGATCAGACCAAAGTAAAGAAGAATAAATACTTGAAGATGCTACAGGTGAGCATTGATAAAAGTCACCAATAGCAACTATGCCAACATTACCAAAAATAGCTGTATTCGAATGTATACCCATGATTTGAGTAAGACGAGAATGCATAGCACCCCATAAACCGGCTTGTATAAGAGAAACCTCATCAACAAATAATAATTTAAGTGTACCTAACTTACAACGATAACTATTTAATTTATCGCAAGATAAATTATCACTTAAACTATTATTTTGAGTTCCAATCCCGAATGCACTATGGATAGTTACCCCACCAACATTGACAGCTGCTGCACCAGTAAAAGCTGTGATCAATGTATGAACCTCGTCAATATTCTCATCGGGTTCTAAATGTTTTTTACGAGAAAAAATTTTTGTTGCTTCGTAATGAAGACATTTCAAAAGGTGACTTTTACCTGTGCCTGCTCCTCCCGTAATGAACAAACGAAGAGGTTCGACATTAGGATTATGTAAACGTTTTGTACACCATTCTCGAAAATAATAAAATACTTCTTGTTGTTCATAGTTCATCGATTCTAAGAAGGGTCTTATTTCATCTGTAGTAGCAAAAGTTTGCTTCAAGTCAATGAACGTATTTTTATTTTTTCCTTTATGAATAATATTAAAATCGGGATTATCTTCTCGTTCAATATCTCCTGACCATATATTATCCTTTTCTTTATTAGCAACAATTTCAGCCCATTCGTTGTCTTTCATATCTACGGATAATTGATTAAATAATGATTCCGCTTCATCTGTTTCTTTCCAATGAGCTTCATATTTTTTTCGATTTTCATAGACAACTTCTTTTACTTTTCTTATACATTGTTGTCGAGCATCAAATATTTCACCTATTTCATAAAACAATTCATAAGGTTTTTCCAATTCACTTCGACTTCTTATCGGTAAATAGAGAGAAAGAAGATTTTCAAAATAATTTTTTCTATCTGTTTCTCGATTAAAATATGGATAACGTATAATAGCATTACGATTACAACGTTTTTTAATAGAAAAATTCAATGTTTTTAATCGTTTAATTGGAGTCTTTGGATTTTTAATGTTTTTATTAATCGATATGATTTCATATTCAGAAGCAAAATCTGCCATACAAATATCGAATTCCGGTTCTTCTGGTCTATCAAAATATTTGTCAGCTAAGTTAGACATATACTTAGGGTATACCAAAAGTTCTGATCACAGTTTTTAAAATTTAAT